TCTGTGCTTCCTGGACTTGTGTGGCTTTTTCTCTCATTAAATTAAGTAAGTTTTCCATGATTGCTTTTTCAAACAGGTGTTCTATTCCTTGCTCCTCTTCTTCTCCTTCTAGTATCCTTATTATATGGATATTATTATGTTTCCTGTTGTCCAGCAGTTCCCTTAGCCCCTCTTCATTCTTTAAGAGTGTTTTTTCCCTCTTCTTGCTCTTTCTGGGAGTTTTTTTTTTTTCCTACTTTGTCCTCCAGCTTGCTGATTTGATCCTCTGTTTCATCTAGCCTGCTTTTGACACCTTCTACTGTATTCTTCATTTCAGAAATTGTATTCTTCATTTCCTTTTGGCCTTTGTTGATTGTTTTTATATCCTTTTCTTTGATGATACAGTTTTCATTAAATTCCTGGTAGGTTCCCTGTAGTTTTTGGTAAAGGTCTGTGAGCTCATTCAGATTCCTTATAATCACTGTTTTGAACTGAATATCTGATTGTTGACTTGCTTCTATTTTATTCATTACTGCTTCAGAGGAGCCCCCCTTTCCTTTAAACTGGGGATTATTTCTTTGTCTTCCCATTATTTGTTTGACTCTTCTTGTTTGCTTCTGCTTCTTAAATTGATCTGATTTGACTTTCTGACTTTGTGAGGAGAAGTTCTACACTGGGAGGCTGTACCATTCAGTGGTACAGTGTCCTCCAATCACCTGAAATACATGTTCTCAGGATGATCTTTATGGCTTTCATGTTTGTTCTCTAGATGTAATTGAGTTTTGATTTTTTGGGGTGTTTCTTTGATAGGTCCTTTCCTCCAGCTGGTTGACTGTGGGTCACTCATCTTACCATGTGTTGTGTGCTCTTGTGAAGGTACTGCCAGAAGAAAACCACAGAGACCAGGAAACAAACCCCTACCCAAAAATAACTGTCCCCCTCCACCCCACTACCAAGGGCAAATGAAGAAGTATCATATTGTTCAGACTATAAGACACACTTCCCTTGCCCCCCAAAAAAAATTTTTGGGAGGAATAATGGTTGTTAATAGTGCTGTTGAGCTCTGTTTATATTTACATTGGTGAAATATTATGTTATTTATGTTGTTAAATATTTAACACATTTTTAGTTCTAATGTTTTTTTCTGTTTTCCTCCTCTAAAACGTAGGTGTGTCTTATGGGTTTAAAAATATGGTATGTAGTAAGAGTGTAAATAGATGAAGACCTTTATAAGAAATGACAAGGTATATGGGATGACTTACAGAAAGAAAAAAAAAATTGAGAGTGTACAGAGAGGACCACTAACAAGAAATGGGAGGTGGAGCAATGCAAAGAGTGAAAGTAAAATTTACATCATGAATGAAAAAGTGAATGAAGAATGTGCAATGGAATATGAACAGAGAAGCATATAGTATTAGGGTCTTTTTTTAATCTAATACTATTTTTTAGGTTCTTTTTTAAACAGAAATTAAAATAATATAGAGAAAATAAAGTAAGATAAAGGAAAACAAAAGGGAAATATTAAATAATTAACACAAATATAGGAATGAAATGGAAGAGAAAGATCCACCACAGTTCTATCAACAACAAATGAGGTAAAATTAATATAGTTGGTATGGGAATAAGAGGAAAAAAGAAACATAAAAGTTCAATACATATTGAGAGGAATAGGAAATTATTTTGAAATGATAGAGGGGAAGAGAATACTAAGAGTGAGTAACAAAAACCAGTCTAATAGAGGGAAAAATAAAAATTTATGATGTTTGGAAAAAAAGGGAAAAAAGGAGAATGAATAAAAAACAACAAGACAGGGAGAAAAAGAAATTGAAGACAAACAAAAACAGGTTAAGACAGGGAAAAATTAAAAATTTTACAAGAGAAGAAAAGAGAAGGAGTGAGGGTGAGTAAAATTTCATATTTGAACCACAAAATTAGTAAAGATCCCAACATAAAATTGAAAAAAAAGCAACAACAATTACCCTACCTACAACCAACTATCAAAGATTGCTAAAGGTGGAGAGAAAGCAGGGGTATTTTAAGAGTGGAGGGAAAAGGAAGTGAGATGCCCATTGACAAGAATATTGGTTTTCTGTGTCTGGATGTGGGAGAAATAGTAAGAGTGTGAAATGGAAACAAGTTGTAGGAAAAGAAAAAACAAAATTTGAAATGAAAGTAATGCAAGGAAAGAAAGTAAATGGGGTGAGGGAAGGGAGAGGGAAATATATGAATTGAAATTAACTATGGGATAAAATCTGGAAACTTCATATGCACAATCTTACAAACCTTCATTGCTCTTCAGACTCCTAGACCCCAAAGGGATTCTCATCTCCTTCTTTCCCTTGATTCTTATCCCATATGTCATGTTTCATAACTTTTCTTTCCTAGTGCACCTGGTTACCAGGACACTGATATCTACCTGAGATCCATGTCATAGGAGGAACAAAACGGGGTCTTCCAGTGCAGACCTGTGGCAGACTAATGTGGCAGAGACGTGCATGTTTAAAAAAGTTTCAGAGTTTCACAGCAGAATATTTTTACAATCTCTGTAAACTTGTTCCTTGAGAGTGAGTGAAAATATATGTACAATGACAGCACTGTTGTTGACTAGGCTGCTGCAGAGGTGCAGTGATTTATCTCTACCCTTTTTCTCAGATTCTAATACAAAGGTCATTTTAATCAACCTTGTTACCAGAACAATCTAGGTAGTCAGGTCACCTTATGCTGTGGACACCAACTAAGGATGGAGGCAGGACAACTGGAAATATGTATTGAAACATTTCAACCAGATTAAACACATTGGAATATTTAAAAATATAATAAGGATGGACAGCTATAAGCAAGATGAGAGGATTAGGGAAATATAAGTATTAGAACGTGATGTCAGAGGGAAACAAGCATCACACAAATTTAAGAGACAAGAAACACTTTATAAAAAAAAACATACATTAACATAGTGAGCCAGAACTCAGCACTCATGAGAAAGAAGGCTGTGAAGATTTTAAGAACAAGTGAAAGAACCAAAGGCATCTCTGTTTGCTCTTTGGCTTTACAGAAAAGTAAATGGAAGCTTTTCATAAAATCTTTACAGGATGTCATTTTACCTCCTGGTTTTCAAGGTCCTCACCCAAGTTAGTCTTCTACTTCCCACAGAGACTAATACACAGAAACTCAGGAGGATTAAATTTTAAGAGATGGACACAGGAGTTTTTGACAGATACTCGCTGAATCATAAGATTGGCAAGAAAATTTTAAGGACTCTTGTGTATTTCAAGTGGGCAAAAGAAAGATTCGGTAATTACAAGTTGCAATTACATTTCTAAAGAGAATGCTCTAAAATATGGAAGTCAGAGGCCTGAGATCAGAAAGGACCTCTGTGTGGATTGACGACTCTGAGGAAACATTAAGGCCTCAAGGTCATAATGAAACCTGAAAAGACACCAGCATTCTGCCTTCATGTCACTACCAAACCCAATAAGCAATGACAGCGATTGAATCTTTATGGGGACTTTATTCAGATGGCCAGCCATCTTAGAAGATGATGGGCTCATACCCTAAGAGAGCATTTTGTCTTCTCTTTCCAGACCAGACTTTTCATAACAGGGGAATAAACAAGGTGTGGTGTGGGCTTTGAGATTCAGAAGCTGCAGCATTCCTGTCCTGGGCAGTTAGCTATTCCCAGGGGAGAGTAATCCTGTTAGTTGTGTGTGTGTGTGTGTGTGTGTGTGTGTGTGTGTGTGTGTGTGTCCCTGAACATAAAAGCATAAAGGCCAGGTGCCTCCAGTTGTCTACAGTACGTAATCTTGAGCAGTGCCCCAGGAAGTCAGCTGTTTTCACAGGAGACAGGACAAGCCTTATCTGTAATTTCTGAAACAAAAGTTTTAACATATACATTATTTACTGGACTCATAACTTTTTACCTTAAACTAAAATTTCCAAGTCTTGAGTCCCCTGTGAGTAACAAACATGTTTGTGCACAGTGGAGGGAAACACAACTATATGTCTCTCAGCCAAGATCCATTTTGCATCTACATCAGTTCCTGCAATTTCTAAACAGGTGAAAAGTAATCGAGACTCCCTGAATAGAGCCAGGATTTGATCTCCCAGAAGGCTGTGCTTCTAAAGTTTTTCTGTTAGGCATTCTATTTATCTCTGTCACTTTTCAGTTCATCAAAATTAGTCACCAAGGAAGAATTGTGTTCTTGCTCCTACAACATGGCTGGTGTCATCTAATTTAGCCTGATTAGTTACCTAAGTGTAGAGGAACTGACAATGACCAAATATTTTGCTTTGATAAATGTTTTTCTATGAAACACATAGTGGGAATTTAAATAGCCACTTGAGATTACGAATCTTTTCCCTCACACTTCACCTCCATTTCTCTTTAGGTGATGTCCTCTTATCCAAGAGTTACAAAAAGACCAAAGAGGTTGAACTTAGCTGTATAAAGTGTGGGGTCTTTTCCAACTCCATGCATTAGACTCTGAACTAGGACATTTGAGCTAAAACTTTGGTATTATTACCAAAGTTTCCAATAATATCTTTTTAACAGAAAGAAAAGCAATGTTCTGGACTCATAACAATAATCTTATTGATATATAAGGAACAGAGACTCATGGGCACAAACAAAAATCAGTGTTGCTATACACATGGGTGTCCTCATGTCTATTCCCATTGTCTACAACTATGTGCCAGTGCCTCCACGTGTTTGCATGGGGAAGAAACACTGCCCAGATTCTCTAAGCCCTTCACCTTATCCCATTGGTTATCACAGGACCACTGCTCATCCTCTGGGGGACACAATGCCAGCTACACTGTGGACATGGTACATGTGAGACCAAAACAAGGCAGGTTTTAGTCTGAAATGTGACTTTAAGTCAAGAACAGTGACAATGTTAGCTCAGATTTTTGACTGTTGATTGACTCAATGCAAATTTTGTAAGGACTATTCACTTTCAGAATGAATCTATGCTAATAATGCAAGAAAACTGTTTATTTAGAATATAACAGCCTAGAAGGGGATAGGAGAGTCACTCCAATTTCACATCCAGCTCAAGAGGCACACTTGCAACAGAACTGATGGGGTTGGAGGCTTCACACTGGTAATTCCCAGCATCTTCCCTCTTGACAGGGTCTATGGTGAGGCTTCTGCGGTCCTGGGACAACTTCATTCGCTCTGTGGGCTGCAGTTCTTTGCCATTGAACAACCACTGGATGGTGAGCTCATTTGAGTTGCAGGTCAAGACCACAGCATCCTTATCCTCTGTGACTGTGGTGTTGCTGGCTCGCAGGGTGGGCTTTCTCACACGCCCTGTGGAGAAACAGAGAATGTGACTCATTGAGAATGGCCTTGAGATGTGGAGCCATGCTGCTTACTCAGAGATCTCAAACATTCACAGTCCACGGTGAGCTATGCAGAGGTCACCAGAGTAAGGTTTTGATATTTCCAGAAGAACAATTGTGTATCTCAGGTGACAGTATGTAAGGAGAGAGCAACAGCTCCTCTCTGTCCCCATATAACCTTTGGGTGATTCCTTCACTGTTCTTGCAAACATCTGTGTAGTCACAGCCCACAGAACCTCTCCCCAGCCCATGTGTCCTATAACCTCATCATCAGCTACAATCTTTCTCTCATGAGCTTTTCTTAATCATTTTCTATTTTTTTTTTTACTTCAAAATGCATCCCAGTACTTACATAAAATTTTATGTATGTTGGTGTAGGCAGGCTTACCAACTTTGCACATCCCTACAGACAAGGGAAGTTTACAGTAAGTAGAAAAGCATTTAACTTTTGCTAAATAACTCATTAGGAAATAAGAATGGTCCAATACAGTCTTAGCGACTATAGACCTGAAAGATTTCTGTCTAAAACACTTTTAAGTCTGAACAAGATTTTATTTTGTAGCTACTGATTCATTGTCATGTTGAAATTAATTTACAGAGGGAAGTGGTTATGGTTTTAACAAAAAAGAAACAAAACACTGACAGTAGAAATAGAAGTAACTATATACTATAATAAAGGCCATACATGAAAGCCCAGAGTTAACACAATATTCCATGGAAAAACTCAAAATTTTAGTAATATCATGAACAAGAAATAGATGCTATAATTCCATATATTCAACAGACTACTGGAAGTTTTGACCACCACATTTTTGCAAGAAGATGAAACAAGTTGTATCCAAATTGGTGAAAAAGAAAAAAAAATATCCTTTTTGAAAAGATAACATAATTCTATAGAGAGAAAACTATAAATGTTCTGACACACACAAACATACACACACACTTAGAACTAATAAATAAGACAAAGTTGCAGGACAGAAAATAAACACTTAAGATCACTTTCTTTTCTTGCAACAACAATAAAAAATTACAAAGCAAAATTCATAAAAATGTTCCATTTTGTATAGCATCAAAAGACTAGGATTCAAGGAATAAACTTAATTAATGGGGTAGAAATTGTATACATTTAAAACTACCAAATATTTTTTTTAAAAAACTAGGCACAAATAAATGGAAAAACATGCATGTTAATTCTTTAGAAGAGCCCAAACTATCTACCTATTTGACATAATCACTATCAAAACCTCAAGGTCTTTCTTACAGAAATAGAAAACCCCATCCTACATTTCATAAGGAAATTCAATGAACCCCAAATTGCTGAAATGATGTTTAAAAAAGAATGCAGTACAACATCTATACTTTCCTGAGCTCAAAAATTACTGCAGAGCTAAAGTAACCAAAACAGTGAGACACTGGCTCGAAAACTTTTTAGAGAGGGAAGGGAAAGAGAAAGAGAGAGAGAGAGAAACATCAATGTGGGGTTGCTGGGGGTCATGGCCTGCAACCCAGGCATGTACCCTGACTTGGAATCGAACCTGCAACACTTTGGTTCGCAGCCCATGCTCAATCCATTGAGCTATGCCAGCCAGGGCGAAAAGATAGAGTTTTTAACACTGATATTGGGAAGGAATGTCCACATGCAAACAGTTGACATGGATTGTTACCTTATACTATACACCAAAATTAGGTCAAAATAGATCAAATTGTAAAGGTCAGATGTAGAAGTTTAAAATGCTTAGGAAAAGTATAGAAAGAAGCATTATAACATTAAGTTGGCAATGATTTTATGAATATGGCACTAAGAATTCAGGCAAAAATCGACAATTTGAATTTTGTCAAAATGAAAAATTCTGTTCATCAAAAACCACAACAGATTGAAAGGTGACATATGAAATGGAGAAAATATTTCACAAGTCCTATGGAAAATAAAAGGTTAATGTCTAGAATATACAAGATTTACAACTCTACAACAAGGGCACAATGAATAATCTGATTTATAAAGGGACACAGCGCTTGAGTAGAATTTTTTCCAGAGAATATATACAAATGGCCAATTGTCACACACACAAAAAAAGATGCTGAGCACCACCATTATTAAATAAAATGAAAATCAAATCTTTCAAGGTCAAATCTGTTGCTTGCGATACTGGGTGGGATTAACCTTACCCTTCATGTGAGAGGAAAAATGGCCCTGTGTGATACCTTTGATTTCTCCGAAAGCTTCTTCAATCATAGTTGGCACTTGTCACCTCTCAGTAACTTGACTCTTTGAAATAATAAGGCAGGTTGATGTATCACAAAAACAAAAATTGGGAATCTGAGTGCTCAGAGAATGTATGGCCTCCAGCTATATGTCTGGGGAAAATTCAGACTTCCTCAGGTGTTAGTTTAGTATCAGTGTTTGGTTATGGAAAGGCATAGGAATGGGAGTCAGTGACACCCGTGCACTTGTCCTGGTTCTTCACTGACCACCGACTGAATGCCTGGCTGAGCAGAAACCTCTCCTTCCAGCTGCACAGACTTCTATTGCTCAGATGAGGTGTGTTTCCATGGGGCATTATTTCCCAGGACATCCTAGAGACTAGGGTTAGAGCAGAAATAACACATAAGGACCAGAAGCAAGTCAGTGGTAAATTGACTACTCAGGCCTCTGGGGGGAGAGGTGAGACAGGGTTTTCCAGGTGAAGGTGAATGAAATGAGCCAGTGAGCCAATAAATAATAGAGCAAATTTCAATAAGTAATTTAGGAAAGAAGAAAAGAGACAGACAGAAGCTGATTATGGCAGCAGATTCATGAGCTCTGCCCTTGACCATCAAAGTCATTATCTCTCCTCGGATAGCAGGTGAGGACTTGGGCAAATACAAAATGTGTAAGTTATAGCAAATAGGGAGCACTGCCTTTCTGAAATTCTGGTGATAGTGGGTAATTTTTGTTAGGTGGCTATGAGATAGAGATTTCAAAAGAACTTAAAATTCTTCTGTATGTGAAAATTATTATTATTACCCTGGGGCTCTAGACCAACTGCAAAAAGAACTATTTTATTAGAGAAATAAAAAGGATCTGAGATAATGGTCTTAGTTCCTGGAGGCACAGAAAGATTGTCCCCTATGATGAGCAATTCAAGGACTCTGAATCCAGGTTCCAGGTCTGCAGAAATTTTGGATCATTCATGCAATCATTCAATCAACATTTATTTCTTCCTAATATATCAAAAGCAGCTGACTATTTGTTACATGTTGGTCCTAAGCTGGTTTCAGCGATACAGTGGGGAATGAGAAGGCAAAGTCCTTTCCTTTATATCTGGTGGGTATGACTGCACCACAACAGAAACCAAATAAGTGATGTCAAGTCCCGAGCAGGGAGATGTGGGTAAACCACCTGTGAGGGAGGCCTGTGTATTTTATGCAGTGACTTTGTTACTGTAGGTAAAAGGATTCTAGAGGAAAATAGATTGTTTCTCCATTTTGCTCACTACACAGAAAAAAGTATATCCCTATGAGCTAAGGAAGCCTAAAGAAAAAGTATCTGAACCAATTCATTGGTTTAAGAAGCCCAAGAGCCCCTCATATGTCCCCTGAGATAGAGAAATCAAGTCTATGACTACAGACAGTACTCAATGACTCTGATCAGATGCTCAAGGATTGTGTGACTGATTGACTGACAGTATCTTCCTGTTTCTGAGTTTATTCTCAATGAATATTTGGCTACCCTCTTGTCAGTGCAGGAACTGTAAAATATTAAAGGTTCAGACCTAAATCTTGAAATAGAAAAGCTGCTCAAATGAGGCACATCTTACTCATCAAGTCCAAGAGAAAATCCACTGGGCTGATCTCTGGTGAATGAGGACTTTCTGAGAGCATCTTTGTTTCTCAGGTTTTTTCTGGGAATGCTGACTCCTTCTGAACCTTCCTAAATTCCCCAGGACAGTCAGTGAATATCCAGAGACATTGTCTAACTGTGTTCTCCATACACAGACTCAGGTGATACGAAATTCCATTTCTGCCAAGATGTGACTCTTGGGCTTGAGCCAGGACTGGTGACAGGCTCAGGAGCCTTGTGACTCAGGCGTGCATTAAATTGTTACACAGTCAGCCTTTTTAAGGACCCCGAACACAACCTGGCAGAGACTCCCCAGTGTCCCTGGAGTCAAGATCTCTGGCACAGGGTTCTGGGAAGGGGTTATTGAGCTGAGCTCTGTATGAATATCACAAGGTCTCTCAGACCATGCTCTGACCTAGTATAGCGGGGTCAGCCTCCAGTCAAGTTCATAGGAACATGCTCAGGGGGCTGAACTGAGAGAGTTTTCCCTCTGCTGAGTTACTCTCATCAGAATGACCCTTCTGTCTGCAGTGACTATCTGCAGGGCTGCAAGATGGGAAGGGAACTGAGACCTTACCAAGTTTGTCTACACTCTGTGTATCCTGCAATAGATGTCAAAATCCAGCCCGAAACAAAATACAGAGAGCAATGGAAGCAGAGTCGAGAATTAGCAGTTCTGTGTTTCAAGTACAATTCACTGCCCCCCAACACCTAGAGATCAGAAAACAATCACTCACGATATACACTGAGCTTCCCATATCCTATTAATGTTTTGGAATCCTGTTTTTCCACTGCTATGGTGTAGATTCCTGCATCTCCCTTGGTGACCTTCTTTAACAGCAAAGATCCATTGGAGTTTAATGTCACTCGTCCAGTTTTTGGAAATCTTACATGGTGGTCTTCATATCGTACAAGAAAAGCAAATATATGATATCTGTCTGGGACTGTCCCTCTGTACCATGCAAACACGTTTTACATCAGGCGGCATGTTGTGGATATTTAAGTGCAGATTCTCCCCTTCAGCAGCATTTTTCAACCACATATCCTGTTGGGCCATGGTGGGCAAGCACCAGAAGTTTAAGAGTGAGACTAAAAAATAGGAAAAAGAAATTCATCAATATTTGTATCTTTGTATTGGGTTGGGAAGAATGGGCCTTAATTCTGAGCAGGTCTCTATCTCTCAGCTTTGGTCTGTATAAGAGTGTCTGTCTTCCATGGTCAAAGTCAATAGCATGGCCCCCATTACTTCTGAAAGTAAATTCCAGCATCTCTGAAACTTACTTTTTCTGTTTCAAGTACTCTTCTCCTGGTGTTTGTTTTACTCACCCCTTCACTATACTCAGACCCCTTCTGACGTTTAGGGACATATTTGATAGACACCTTTGCTGACCACCTTCTCTAAAGATTCTCTGCCTTCACTTTCTGACTGTCTTCCTGTTTTTATTTATTTTTTTTTCATGGCTATTTTGGTTACCTGACCTCACATTGGGACCATTCCTTTTCCCTCTCTCTTCCATAAAACATGGACTTCATGAGTGCAGGGCTTCTCAGACTTAGTCCCTCCACTGACTCCAGCTGCCTAGAAATACATTGTGTTGAATGAATGAGTTTTCCCAGGGTCCCGTAAATCATGGGATGCATTTACCGATGTCTGAGGTTTGTGGTGAAAACAATGCCTAGAACCCTTGGATGAATTTTTCTGCTCTTTCCTGACTTAAATCATTATTATTATTACCAGTTTTCATAATTCAATGCTCAGTGATGAATTGAAGAGGGAATAAACAGCAATCCAGCTTTTCCTGCCACCCACCATTTCCAGATTATGAGATTTTCCTCTTGCTGGGCCCCCTTTTCTATCCTTCTCTTTCTTTTTGTCCTTTACACTCAGTTCCAGACAGAAGCCTTCCATCTTTCCTCAAAACACTGGTCTCTCCAGCAGATCCCAGGCAGTCTCTCTGTCAGATCCTTAGTCTACCCCAAGGAATTGTCTCCTACTTACGAATGAGCAGGAGGCCTTGCCAGTGGACAAGTCCTCTGATGGTAGAGACTGAAAGGGATCCCATGGTGTCTGCTGCCTCCTCTGTAGATATGGCTTTCAGTAAACCCTGAGGTTCTGCCAGGCTCATAGGTACCTCTGTCCAGAATGGTGCAATCTGCTGTGTGTCCTACCTGTAACCTGAGCTTTATTCTGGGGCATGTTTACTATTCTTGTCATGTGATCTGGGGCAGGGTTGGCACACAGAACCCTCCAATGCCCAGCCTTCAGTTGTTTCCACCCTCTTCCCTTCAGACCAGTGCTGATCCCCTGTATTCTGCTTCCTTGAGAGCGCCTGAGGCTTCTCGAAACCACACAGGCACCCACAAGCTCCCATATAAACACGCTCATGCTGTGTTAGGAAAAAGAAAAGCCTGAAGGGTTTGGCTTTCTGGGTCTTCACACAGCTCCATGTAGGGGGCACAGTAGTCCTTCCCACAGCCTCTCTCTTTCACACTTGACTTTTCTCTACAGAGCAGGTGTTCTTGAGCTAAGTCAGAAAATTCTAAAACATGAATATCACCCCTGCTGGGCATTGGATCACCTGTGAGACATTGTAAATATTGTAATACCCAAGTGAAACCTTACAAATGTAGCTTCAGGAGCTGTCCAGCTAATTTGGTTTCCCAATCAGAATGAGGTCCCTTCATGTGAGGGCAGAATCACTTCTATTGCTCTCCTGTGCAGAAGGGATGTCTTCAGATGCCATTAAACTACCAGTTCTGACTGGGCTGCAGTGGGTCAGAGATTCTGCATCTGCCAAGCTCTCAGGAGAGGGTGATCCTACTGAGCTGTAGTGCACATTTGCATTAGCAAAGCTGATGGGGCACATATATCCCTGAAAGGGTGAACCATTTGTGCCAGCATAGGACGCTGCTATGTCTTGGTCTTTGCTCTGTAAACTTTTCAGTGTGGACCCTTCTTCTTTCTCAGCTTGTCACTAGACCAGTTTTTGCTTTCAGGGACACAGACTTTAAACACGAAGTCTCAAAAAGATGTGAGGATATTGGGTGTGAAGTGGGAGATGTCCTGAGTGTCCCAAGAAGAAAGGCCTTTGGTGAAAGTTCACGTGCCTGTGGGCTGCTAGTTCTCAGGGATCAGCTTCGTATACACCACGCTCTACACATGTGTTTGTTGGACCTGTCTTTGTACTCTCTGGGTGTTGGGACAATGTCTGAGTTCCATCTGGGTGGATTTCTTGTGGTCACCGGATTTGCCCATGGATGATGCCAAGCATAAGGTAGAGAGGAGCACAGAAACCCCTGAAGGAGAAGGTTCACCCAGGCCCTGTCAAAAAACAAACAAACAAAAACAAAACAAAACAAAACAAAAAAACAGTCTACTCTATAGCTGAGATTGCCTGAGCCATAATGATCACATAAGCTGGGAATATAGGTTTCAAATCGTGTGAAGAAAGGTAGTTTTGCAGCATGTTTTATTCATTATAATCAAAGTAGAATTGAAAAAGAGTTGCATAAACTCCCTTAGTAGGTGAGAGAAAACATAGCATGGAAATCTCTAGAATTGGGAGAAAAGGGCAAAATAGGGGAATGTGTACTTTTTACATTGGTGGTTACAGGAAAATTCACATTTACAGGACACAGAGAAGGTGTGTAGGGCACCAGATAACATAAAGAATGTTATGTGAAAGAATGAAAAGTCATCCCTGATTCTTATAAGGTCAGGGTAGGCTCCTTCCTCCCCTCGTAGTAACTCTAGCAAAGGTTGAGGATCCAGAGTTTCTGTCAGATGGCTATCTGTGAGAACAGGGAGAACACAGGCCCTGGCTGATGAGACATAATTCACAAGGTGTGTCTGCGGAGGGCTGTGATTTTAAGGGAAATAAAATGGAGACCAACCCTCACTGTTAGCAGGATCTTGCCCTTCCTTCCGACTGTATGAGAAGTAAAATCCTGAACCTAGGATGTCCCCAAGCAGGCAATGGCCTCCTGTCATACTGTCATCAATGCCTTTGTGTCTATGGAAACATAATTTGACTGCAAGAGTGGTGTGTGCTTCCCCTTGTCAATTTAATAAGCATTCACAGAGCTTCTGTGATGTGTCAGGCTCTCAGCTGGGCCCTGGAAACTCCAAGGAGAATAAATCATGTGTGGGCCTTGTGCTTATCAAGTTTGCTTGTAACAGAGACAGGGTGTCAGACAAATCATGGCTCTAGGGGATTAGTTATAATTCAGTGAAGGAGCATGAAAGAAACCCCGGGGGCACACACAGCATGCCCTTGAATCTTAGCTGGTCTGGGGATCATAGAGAAACCTTTTGACAAAGTGACCTCTTAGATGACACCTCAAGAATTCATGAAACAGAGGACCAAATTGAGGAACAGAGGCTTTAAAAAAAAACAGCTGCCTGCAGAGGACTGATCTTTGGTGGGCTGATATTTGGCCAGATAGAGGAGTGGACAGAGTCTGCTCTCCTGGATGAGGAACTTGAAGAGTTAGGAAGAATGTATAATAATTGATAATTTTGAGGTTGGGCTCTGCTGGGCTGTGGGTGCTACTCTTTTGGCGTCAGCAGTGCCCCAGAAAGTATCCAGCCTGCAGAGTAATTCTGCCACAGCCTGGTGGACAACCAGAAAAAATGGCAAGAAGATGTCATGTTACAGTTGGTTTTGTTTTAATTTTGTATTTTCTATTCCATTATACTTTAGATAATATTTCATGGGTATATATAATTTTAGCATATTTTTTAATTACACTTGAATATAATAAGCTTAACATGTTGAAAGCATATAATTTATGATATTTTTTCTGATGCATGTACCAGATAATGTAAAGACCATGTCCCTTACTATTAATATCTTTTTATGCCCTCTTGTGATCTCTTTATTCGTCATCTCAATATCTCATTTTCTAGTGTTAATAAAACTCCCATTAGCTTCTTTTATTATGAGTTAATATACATTTTCAGGATTTTCCAAATTTTTTATCATGACCTATGTAATTTTAGGCTGAGGATGACTTCTTGACTCAACAAGATTATTTTAACATAGCCCTTTTCAAAATCTAGTTATATGTCATTCTAAGGATGCATTAATTTTGATTAACTATTCACCCTTTATGGACATTTGCGTTGTTTCCAATTTTGGGCTCTTCTAAGTAAACCTGCCATGAACATCAATGCAGAAAATTCTATAAGGCAAAGAATTAGTATTTATAAAAAAAATGAGTAGCTAGAGAAATTGATGTTTGGAGGTTACCCCTAGAAGTCTGATTTTAAGGTCCCCCTGCAACAGCCCCACCCAAAGGTAAAGAAACACCTGATTCTTCACATAAAACTGTGGCTGCTTCATGTGCCCCCATCAGTCAACACAGTGACAGGAATAATGTTTCCCTCTAAGTTCCAGCTTCTAAATTATGATCCAGGTCACCTCAGAGACTGCACTGAATTCACATTTGGATTGTCAATCACTAGGAGCAGGGGAAAGGTAGTGTTTAAGTTTTAGTCCCTCTGAAATAAAAGGAAACCTAATAAAATAAAGGGTATATGCCAAGTGCCACATGACATTTCTGACCCAGCTGCAGGCTGTGTGACTCTGGGTGAGTGACCCCACATTGATAAGAGTCACTTCCCTCATGTGATGTCATAAAAATATGTTTGGACTTCTTTCTTGGATTTTAGAAAAAGATATCTAAAACTCCTGGAATTTTGTAAGTGATGTGGGTGGTAAGTGTACTTTTATTGTGATGACACAACTCTTGGCAGGCCTCTGGATAGTTGAGGAGTGAGGGCAGGTCACCAGAAAGGCCAAGTTCTCATAAGAAGTTTGGAATTTTCAGCTGTCAACGTAAGAAATGTTTCAACCTGAAAAGATATTTTAATAATCTTCTTGAGCCAAACATAATGATATTTGTAGGAAGCAAAATCACAATGGACTGAGAAAGTGTTCTAAAGAATGGCAGTTTGCCTCTTAGTTCATACAGTACCTTCATATGCCAGGGCATGTGGGGTTACATGGAATCCATTGGTAATAGATTAGAAATGTTGGAGAAAGAAAAGTGCAGGAATCACTGGGATTGTTAAAAACTAAAACAAATAGACACAATTTTGAGGTTGGTTGGTACAGTTAAGTCAGCAGTTAACAATGAACACAATAGTGGTAATAGTGAGAAGATATGTTTTCTCTGCTGTGGTGCAGAGAGGTGTTCAGAAAACAGAAAATTACCCTGACATTTTAAAGGCATGTTATGTTAGAGGCAAAAAGACAATGAACACTCTAAGTTGAGTTAAGGAGTGATCTTTGTCAGGAACAATACCAGCCTAGGACATGATTACCCACCAGGACACACTTTGGTTAAGAGTTTTAATTTCAGACCATCCTCTGCAGTTGCTGAAGTTCATGTGTTTTATATCTGACCATGCAGGCCTTCCCTGAGCTTTTCAGTTTTAGGGTGTGCCCCCTTTTATGTTTTAAATCAGTCAAAAGAATTCATTGATGACTGATCTTTCAGTTAGTCAATATTGTGTCAAGTGCTAGGAAGAGATTTTAAGGAAATTTTACTGGCAGTGTTTGTCTGGTTGAATGATAAATCATCAGTGATACAGCAAGCCCTTAACCTTGGATGGAAGTCAAAGCCGAATGATCTCAAAAGAGAAAAGCAGGTCAATGGGAGCAGTCGGCCCCCAGGCCTTTATAAGACATTCTGGATCATTTCTGACATGTAAGCTCCAATAATGTAAGTTTTTCTGTCTTATTTCTTTGTATCTAACACCTTGTATAACATTTACTTACAGTTTGAGGGCACACTATAGACCAAAGCACTTTTAACAATCTGACCATGTGACTGGTTCTTATTTACTATGGCCCACCTGTTATTAATTTTAATTAGTCAATATAAATCTGATTTTTGGTAGTTTTACAATTGGAATCTGTAACCTTAAGGTTTATTTGGGGACTGCGTTGTGAGACACATTTGTATTCTTGAGAGGGTAACAGTTAAATAGAATTCAATTACCATATTTTCAGTGGATCTTTAGAATGTGGGAAATGTATATGGGCCTACTTGAATGATTTTCCAGTGTCATATTTGTACAGATAGAACATCTGCTACAGACTTTATGAGCTATAGTAAGAGGTTTC